GTTGCTGTATAGAAATATTTAGAAATATTGATTCCTATAGCTTTCATGTATCCCTTGTGTAATTCTTTTAACCTTCTGTATCTCTGTTGATGCTATAAGGTTCCATGTTTCCCCTCTTGGAATGTAATTGCCTCACCCCCTGGTGTTCTAGCTTCCTATGCCTGACCATTTGCTCAATTGCCATGCCATATAACGACACATGTTTCACACTTCTGGCAGACCTACTGGAGCCTAGTAGGGTCATTTGAATCCTGAAATTGGCCCTTATTAGTCTGGACCCAAAGACACGAGCTCAGATTTTCTGCTTGCTAATCTGTTCTTGCTATCTACTGTCTGTGGACTTATTCTGAAATGCTTTGTTTCTGCCATGTGGCTGGCAGACAAAGGATCCTGGGTTGCAGCTCAACACATGGCTGCATACTGGCACAAAGATGAAACTTAAGTGGACTTTGTTAAAATGGACCGCCTTGGACCCGGGGCTCAGTGAGGGAAGAGAACGTTGCCCCGCCCCCATGCGGGCGACACAGCTGCTGCCGAGAACAGTGGCGGCGGCCATAACTTTTTAAAGAGCCCCTCCCGAGAGCTGGGGAGCCAGAATGACCTCTTGTGTGTGATGTCCGAGCCGCAACGCCGCTCGGACATCACACGCAAGAGGTGGAATTTGCCCCTAGGAGTCCAAGGCCACCCCGGGGCTCAGGGAGGCAAGGGAACGTTTTGCCCTGCCCCACCCCTTGCACTGGCGGTCATAAGTTTTTAAAGAGCCCCTCCCTAGAGCTGAGGGAGCCAGAATGACTTCTCGCATGTGACAGGAGAGGTGGAATTTGCCCCTACAAGTCCAAGGCCACCATCCCGGGGCTCAGGGAGGCAAGGGAACTTCGGGCCCCCCCCTGCCAGCCTTAACTTTTATAAGATTCCCGAAGGAGAGCTGGGGGGGGGAGAGGTGGAATTTGCCCCTACGGTCTCCCCCCTGTCCCAACCAATGTTCCCTCTAATCTGTGGAGTCTTGTGAGCAAAAATTCTACTTTGTGAGCCACTGGCATTAAAGTTGTGAGCAAGCAATTTGGCTATTGTATAAATTAGTTTGCTCTGGAGCCCTCCTTCCTGAGCTAAGACAAAAAATGTGCGAGCCGGAGGCTACAAAACTGTGAGCTAGCTCACACTAACTCAGCTTAGAGGGAACACTGGTCCCAACTGATGGCTGGTGGGAGCAAGGGGCAAGGCTTATGTGCACGCCCCCTAGGCTCCTGACTGGCGGAGCTGTGCTCCTGTGCGCTCAGACAGGAACCGAGGCCTGGGCCTGATCCTCTGCATTGGCTAAAATTCATTCCTCACAATCCGAGCTTCGCCCAGGAAATAATTTGACAATCTTGAACGCGCTGCTGGACTCCAATTATATTCCTAACGGGAACAAACCCGCGTTTAGCCCAAACTTTTCTGCCCCTATCCTTATTGGCCCTTCCGGTTACAATAGCTGCGCCTCCCAACTCTCCAAAGCCACGCCTCTCCCATGCTTCTTCTCCCCGCCTTCTTTCCCTCCTCCACTCTCGCGTCAAGTCCCGACTCTATTCACGTCCCTGCCTGTCACGGCAAACCCCGCCCGCCTCCCCTTTTCCCGGTTCACCGATTGGCCCTTCCTCTTCCCATCCTGGCTCTCCTATTCGTCCCTTTCTTCGCTCTCCTAGCCTGACATTCGACGGCTTGCAAACGTCTGGCTTCCCAGCCAGCCCTTCTGCTTTGTCCACGTTCGTGGGCGCCAGGCCCGCCCCTGTTGCTCCCGCGACTCCTTCAGCCTGGCGTGAGCAAAGGGAGAGGGGGGCTGTGCGTTGGGTGGGCTGCTGTCGCGCGCGCGTGCGGGGCCGTCGCGGCGCGCGCGCGAAGGAGAGCGGTCGGTCGCCCTTGGCTACGGCCATGGCGCTGCAGTGGCGGCGGCGGTGGTGGCGAGCGCCCGAGGGGCTGCGGTGGCTGGCGCTATGGGGCGTCCTCCTGTGCCTGCGGCCGGCGGAGGCCCTGCTGGAAGGCTTGTACTGCGGGAAGCTGGTGTGCTACGACGTGCTGGGCGTGAGCCGGGAGGCGAGCAAGGCTGAAATCGCCCGCGCCTACCGGCAGCTGGCCCTCCGCTACCACCCGGACCGGCAGCGCGACCCGGAGCCAGGCGGCGAGGCCTCGGAGGAGAAATTCCTCCTCATCGCCACCGCCTACGAGACCCTCAAGGTGAGAGAGCGGGGCCGGGACCGCCCCCTCCCTCCTCCGCCCCGGCCGGACTCCTCCGGTAAGACACGTGTACTTGCTCCCCCTCACAACACCCGACCTGCCTACGCCAGCCCTGTGAGGACGGAGCTGCTGCTGCTGGGGCGCGGAGGAGAGTGTGGGACAGGGCTGGCCGCCGGCGCCGCCGAGGCTGGCAGTCGCAGGCAGGACGTTTTAAAGACTAACGGGATTTATTGTAGTGTCAGTTTACTTCCTCAGATGCATTGACCGGGTATATGGGCGAGTTGGCAGATGCATTTGGACTGAAAGCTGGGGGAGGGGTGGTGGTGGTAATGAAAGGATTTCGGTTAGTCTTTAAAGTGTCGTTGCATTGTTACAGAGTGATACCGCTGCCTATCGGCAATTATCCGGTGCACCGTTTTTTGCAGCCTTTTATCATGGTGGAATGTTATATTGTGCCTTTAGTTGTTCATGTTATTATGTATATATATACACCTTGTTTTTCCTGGGATTACACAGTGTGAGGCAGTGCAATCAGGTAGCTTCCTGTTGCTTTGTTATCCTCTCAGCGTCTCAGGAGATAAGGTGAGATCTGGATGTTTTCAGTAAATAAGTCTGGTACCCACAGTTACACCTGCACACAGGTGCAGCAGTTCTCCAACGGATCTCAGTGTTTATTCTCTCAATAGTCTGCATGATAGCCTTATAAAGCTTGGTTAGTAATACTATCCCCGCATTGCACACAAGGAACTAAGGCAACCGTAGCAGAGATCAGATTTTCATAGCGGATTTCCTGATAAGAGAAAGGGAAGGGTAAAATATGGCTTACAGATTGAGCCCTTGACTTTATATTAAGAGTATGGGGAAGGCACCCTCACAAACGCGCATGCGGTTTGTGCTGTTCCAAAGAGGAGTACCTCTAGTACCTGTCACTGCCCCCCCCCCGTCACACAGGCCGGATATAGCGGGGGGGAGGCGTGGCTAATTATGCGCTCAAATGCACCGGCGGCACACCATGGGTCCTTCCCTCGGCGCCGGCCAGTAAACGAGGGACCGGAGGGGAATGCCGCGCGCTGGCGTGATCACACCATCGCGCGCTGGCGCGATCACACCGTGCGTCTGGAGGCAGCCCATGGCAAACGTTTATAGTACCTTGGAGGTACTAGTTTTTTAACGCGCATCATCGGCGGTAAGTCACGGGTGCGCTCCACTTCCCAGATGTTGGGGTGTGATCGCACCTGGATAATCTGCCCACCATCCGTGCCTCTCCTGCGGCAACTTTGCCGTGTGACCGGGGCCACTATATAGCAGGAAAAGTGGTTACTTAAGCCAAAGAATGTCCGACCTGCATGGGAAACAACTTCTGAACTGAGGGGCATTTTTCAAAGCAATTTGTAACCATCACGCAAGGCATAAACAAACCAAAAGGTTCTCAGTGTGTACAGATTCTTTGGGATGCGTCAATCCATTTGGATTGAAGTCAAGCTATTTAGGGATCAGAAATTCAGTTTTCTTTGTCAGTAGTGTCCCCTTATTATTTCAGTTGTCTTGAGTATATTTTGAATGAAAGCAAAAATTTTAATTGGTTTGTACATTCATTTTTGAGATTCTAAATCAGGGTGCTCTCAAGTCTCTTATGTAGACCGGTATCGGGATTTTTATTTAACATACCAAGGCTTCTAAGTAAATCATGCAGGCTGTTGGGATGGGTGAAGGAGAGTCATGTATACACAATATCTGTAAAGTGAAGGGCTGGAGAAAGGAGTCAAGGGTGTTCTCAGAAAACAGCCAAGTTGTGTGAGTTAGAAAATGGGTCCTTTCCCAAATATTTCCAGTTCATGCCGGCAGTGACTGAGAGATGCTTATTTGCCAGCTCTCAGGGCTGCCTGGAAATAGTCTTTATTGAAATGTCCAGCTAAGTGCAAAGCTGCTTGTGTCTTTACATCATCAATTATTTGTTGCTGTGTTTTTTGCTGTCAAATCGCAGGTGACTTATGGCGACCCCATAGGGTTTCCAAGGCAAGAGACATTCAGGGGTGGTTTGCCGTCGCCTGCCTTTGCGTAGCAACCCTGGACTCCCTTGGTGGTCTTCCATACAAATACTAACCAGGGCCAACACCTCTTAGCTTCTGCGGTCTGACAAAATCAGGCTAGCTTTGTCTATCCAGGTCACGTGATTAGTTATATACAGTTATTATGTATGGTTAAACCATTCTTTCAAACTTAAAGCCCATCTGGTCCAACAGGCTTAGTTGGGGGTTGGGAGCAGGTGGTAGTAGAGAAAATTTATGAGCTATACATTCACATAATGAGTATTGAATATTGACAGAGAACTTCAGTAGGGATAGGAAGTACAATAAATACTTAAAAGGAAAAAAATAAAGATATATAACATAGGATGCAAGTTACTGAGGAATTACAAGGTGTAGGTCATGTCCAATTCTTTTCTGGTCAACAGAAACGTGGTAGAGTTGGTGATCAATAAATCATTATCGAATCGTAGGAAGGTATTGGCATAAAATTAATGCAATGTAAGTGCATTATGGATGAGAAAAAGGTATGCAAAAGGAAGATGACCCTGAATGTAAGACACCATCTCCAAATGTTATACCAAAAAATATTTTTTAAAATTAATGGACATAACTATAATTTATAGGCAAATGTAAAATGACCCCATAGGATCACTACTGTGTACAGTTCTTTCTAGGGTTGCCAGACCCCCGATCGGGGCGGGGGTTCCCCTGACTTTGGGGGCTCTGATCCACCACTGGCCAGTGGGGAAGCCCACCCCTGAACAACCCCCTCCCATGCCAACAACATCAACACAGGAGGGGGCTGTTTGGGGGTGGGACTTCCCCACCAGCCAGTAGCAGATCGAAGCCCCAAAATCGGGGTAAATCCCAACCTCGTGCAAAAGTGGTATTATCACACCGGGCATGTCATGTGGCGACACTCTAGCATTTTGCCCCAAACTCTATGGTAACTACTATATCTGTTGCCCTGCTGTCCCCATTCCTGAAAGGCTCCCTCCTACCCCCCCCCTCGACTTGGTGAGTAGACCTGGCAACCCTAGTTCTTTCCTTTCTTCCATATAAGTGAATGGCTGCTTGTAATTCCTAGGGAAAGGCTGAGGAATACACTAGACATGATTCTGTTCTTGCCTCTGGCGATCATTTCTGTACAATCCTGTCTTGGATTCTGTTTCTTGGTCACTCTTCTGTGTGGCAATGAGTGGGATGGAACATTGCAAAGAGACACTTACTGTACGTATTAGTGGGTGGTAATTGTTTTCCAACCAGAAGGAGATCAGTAATGACAGAGATGCTGCCCAAAAAACACCTCTGCCATTATCAGTCTTGCTTTAACATACTGTAAGCAGAGGTAAAACAAGGAAGAGTGTAAGGTTGCACACATACGTGTGTGTGTGTATTTGAACATAAATCACAATTTACTTGCGTGCATACATTAATTCACAGTTGTGCCCCACTGTCCATTGAATATACAGATGGTGTGTTTAACACTGAGAGAACTGGCCTGTACTGTGCACAAGAAGTATGTAAATTATTGGCTGAGGATAGTTGCAGAAGTTAGCCATGTTGGTCTGCAGTGGAATACCTAGAGTTAAATCCAGTAGTGCCTTTGAGACCCACAAGATTTGGGGGGTATGAGCTTATGGTGAAGGGAGCTTTGCCTCTCTAAATCTCATACCCCTAAATTCTTATTGTTGTCAAAGGTGGTACTACTGAACTCAAATCTGGATGTATAGGCCAAGGTTTTTCAGAGGATACCAGTTAACTCCCTCTAAATCAGAGGTTCCAAAACTTATTTGGCCTACCGCCCCCTTTTCAGGAAAAAAAATTACTCCCCCCCCTCCCAAAATCTACCTTGAAAAAGTAGAGAAAAAGATGTAGGGACAAATTTGCACCCAAGGCTCCTACCGCCCACCTGGATCGTCCCAGTGCCCCTCAGGGGGGAATATTGCCCACTTTGGGAACCAGTGCTCTAAATGAATACTTTCCTCAGTATATAAAAGTTTGGCTTTTTGTCTGTGGTTGTAATGTCCATTAATAGGCACAAGCATGTAACTTTTTGTTTGCAGCATTTATTGCACATATAGTACTTACTGCATTTGTTTGCAAGTTTATTTTGACAGTATCTGTATAAATAACAAAGGCACATTCTAAAATAGCTAATTTAAACACTAGCTTCTTTAAACTGTAGCATGTTTCTGGATATAAAACATTACCAATTGCTCTTTGTAGGATGAAGAAACTCGTAAGGATTATGATTACATGTTGGATCATCCTGAGGAGTATTACAGCCATTACTATCACTATTACAGCAGAAGACTAGCCCCCAAGGTAGACGTCAGAATAGTGATTCTAGTCACTGTCTGTGCCATCTCAGTTTTTCAGGTAAATATATTTCTCCTGACTGTTCTAGTATTCCAATATGCAAAATATTAAAATAGCTTGTTTGTTATGAAAAGTTAATAAATGGCCGTCTCTTTGCTGGTACTGTCTGCTTCTCCCCACTCCCACCCCCCACTACCTGGAAGTGAGTTGTTTGGTCTTAAATCTAATTGGCTGTTCTGACCTTGAGACATGACATACCTGAGAAAAGCTTGTGGCCTATGAAAATATTGCATCAGCATTCCCTAAATTTGCAGGCCATAAAATGTGGAAGTAGGGGAAGGAGCTACAAGACTTCAAAAGGTATGCGTGAGAGAGAATGTAAAGCTATAGGAATGCAAAAATTAGAAAAGGACAAGTTTACATGGCGCAGTCCCAGATACATCCTGAGTACAATAGGAAGAATAAAGTTGCATGGACAGTGTTCTCTAGGATTAATACACTATTTATATTCTAGTTCTTCAGCTGGTGGAGTAGCTACAATGAGGCTATCAACTACCTAGCAACTGTGCCAAAATATCGTATACAGGCCACTGAGATTGCCAGGCAACAAGGGCTGCTGAACAGACCCAAAGAAAAGGGCAAAAGCAGACGGTCCAAGGAAGAAATCCGCAAAGAAGAAGAAGACATAATCAAAGATGTTATCAAGAACAAAATAGATATTAAAGGAGGCTATCAGAAGCCCCAACTATACGACATACTCTTATTTCAAATCCTCCTAACCCCTTTTTACGTGTTTAAGTACATAGGATGGTATTGTTGGTGGATTTATTCTTTCAATATCAAGGGACAAGAGTATGGCGAAGAGGAGAAGCTGTATATCATACGCAGATACATGAAAATGTCACAGTCTCAATTTGACACTTTGGAAGATCACCAGAAAGAGACTTTTCTTGAACGGCAGCTCTGGATAAGAGAAAAATATGAGGTAAGTGATGCTGGCAGATGAGAGGTTGAACTTGACCTGATGTTGGCAGATGGAAGGTTAAAGCTGACCTAATTAGCCTGACATTATACATCGCAGGTATACAAGATTTGGTGCCACTGACTAAACTGTTCAGTTACGTGGTTCCTTGGTGTTGGTTCATATAATAAGAACAGGCTGCTTGAAGTCTTAGGAAAGGGCATCCTATTTCATATTAAAGTTGTCCAGACCTCACCCACGTGCTGCCTTTCTTGAATATCTGTGTAGCCATTTAATTCTCTGATTTTTTTAACCTATTATTTTAATTGATGGTATATCTACACTTTTGTATATGGCATGTGATGGACAGTGCAGCTTAAAGTAGAGTGATCAGGTCAGATGGATTTCATGTCTGTTCCAGAGAGAGCACCCTTTAATAAAAGGGGTTTATTTATTTATTTATTTATTACTTTCCCCCCCCTAAAAATAATCCAAGGAGTATTATAATTACTATTTTTTTAAAAAATAAATAAAATCAAACTGCAGCATATAAAAAGAACAATAATTAAAGCTGACAGGGTAACATTAGATCAGAGAAATGGCTCAGAGGTGATCCTTTAGCCCAGGGTCCCCAGTATTTTTGAGCCCATGGTCACTTTTTGGAATTCTGACAAAGGGTAGTTGCAACAACCACAAAATGGCTGTCACAAAATGATAGTAGCTATTTATGGAAGGACACTGTCAACATTATACCATAAACATCAAAGACTGGGAAAGCCCTGCTTGGCCCCACCCTCTTTCTAAAGACACTTGGGCACCAGGAAAGGTGCTGGTGGGCACCATGTTAGAGACCCCTGCTTTAGCTAGTGCCACGGACTAGGCAGAATGAGACCTCTTCACTTGCTGCTTGAGCCTTTGAAGAGCCTTGAGTATGCTTCTTATCACACTGAACACACTTTTGATTAGATGGAATGTACGGCAGGGCCTCTTCAAAAGACCTTGGGGTCCATCCCAATAAATAGAATTCAAAAGGTGGCAATGGTTTTAATATCTTTCACATATAATTTTTTCCTGTATCATCTACTGAGTAATGTTGTAAAATAGGTACTGAATTCACCTAAACTGTATTTGGCATTTAGTTATTTTAATATGTTGCTTTTACACAATCCAGAATAGTTCAGCTGAAATAATGGATACTAAGTAGGCGACCCTGCATTTGATCTTGTCTGAAAACCTTTAAAGAATATGCTGTGCTACACATGGAGGATTAGCATTATGTTGCCTCCACTTAAAAACCTCTTTCCTGCTCCTGTAGCTTTACAAACAAGAACAAGAAGAAGAACTGAAGAAAAAGATGGCGATGGATCCTCGATGGAAAAGATATAGGCGGTGGATGAGGAAGGAAGGCCCTGGAAGATTGACATTTATTGATGATTGACAGTTGCTGTAATGTGTACAGTCCCTGTTACAGATGATTGGCAAACAAATCCAGACCTAAAAGAGAGTTTAACTGCTGTCTCTCAGCAGTATTTTTTAAAACTCAGGAATTAATCAGGCAGGAAACTAGTACCATTTTATGACTTTTATATATATATATATGTATAAAAATAAAAGAAAGTCTGCTGATCAGAGTTCATTGTTTTGTTCAACCATGGATAAGGAATGGAATTAAAAAGTACATTTGGCACGGATCTCTAATAGCCTCCATATTAATGAGAAAATATAACAAAAATGTGGATGACATCAAAACACTAAATTAGACGATGAAAAATTAGGCTGGAACAGTCACATATTGGGAGGCTTGCCTGAGGCTTAAGTTATTCTGCTTCCTCCCCCACCCCATGCAGCAGCAGCAGTGGTAGCGGTGCTCCCAGCCACCCACCTACTTCCTGTTCCCCTACAGCAGCAGCAGCTCTTCAGGAATCACAATGGATCTCCCACCTACAGAGATCAATTTACCTTAGGGCTGCCAGCTACAGGTTAGGAAATTCCTGGAGATTTGAGGGGTGGAGCCTTGGGATATAATGCCAGAGTCCAGCATCCAAAGCAGCCATTTTCTCCAGTGAGACAGATTTCTGCTGTCTACAGTTCAGTTGCCATTCTGGGGTGTCTCCAGGTTTCACTTGGAGGTTGGCAGAAGTCTAGGGTTGCCAGGTGCCCCTAGCCACCAGCAGGTGATAGGGGGTAAGGTTGCCAGATCCAGGCTGGGAATTTAGCCCTTCCCGTTTTAAAAAATCTTTTTGGGTTTTTCTGCAGCCCCACAGAGTCCCCTGAGTCTGTAGAAAAAGGTGTTGGGGAAGAGTGAGCTCTCTGTTGGCAGAAATAAGTATCCACACACAAAAGGGACTTTGGCTATTAGTATATATATAATGTTGATGGAAGTTAACATTAACCCTTTAATATGAGTAAGTGGTGTAGTTGCACCCCTGAAGGTGTGTACCATAGGCGAGTGGTTTATGGTAGAGTTCAACATGAATAGGCTTCCCCCAAACCAAACACTTCCTGAAGTGTGTCGGAGGATCTTGTGCATAACTTTATATGTTGCTTACTGCACTTGTGCTTTCATCCTCCATTGGCAGCTGCTGTTTGCACAGTATTTTGAAAAGCTGCATCCATAACAGTCAAGGTATGGACATTTCAGATGGCCTGGTTATGTTATTTTATTGATGTGCTGATTCACATTGAAGGGTGACAGTGTGCTGTTAAAGGTAGTATGAGTGGGAAAGGGAACCAGAAGCAAATGGCCTCTTTTGGTAGATACTTTTAATTCAAATCTTTTGAGAACTTGGTACTTTATAGAGTGTTGTCTGCATAACCCTAAATTCATGAATTAGCAAATACCTTTGCATAAGAACAGAAGAACTTACAGAAGGTGAGTCTGTTGAACATTTGGTTTATTTCAGCTCCAGGAGAAATTTGCTGCAGCACATAAAAGTGTATATATTTCCCTCTCTCCTATGGCACAATAGTTAATAGTTAAAACCAAAGGATGGCTGCCTTGCATGGCACTAAGTCTCTGCTTGGAAATCTGGTTATTACAAGTACAAGAGCCCCCAACATGCAACATGACTCGCAGCAGAGAAGACCCTGCAAACCTTGCTTCCCCTGTTCCTGAGGTGCAGCTTTACTTTGGAGCAGTATGGAAACATCAGACTCTGGGTTATGTGGCATCACCAGGACCTCTGGGCCACCTTTTTTGCTGACACACATACAAAGATGAGCTGTACCTGAAACCTGCTTAAATGTTATTATTTTTTTGTTACATAGATATAATCTCCGGTGAATATTTAAAACAGCTCTGTGCCACCTTTTCCACCCAACTCAGCATTTCCCAAGCAGGGAAGATAATGCTTCAAACAAACATTTCAGATATCTGAACATTACTGTGCTTGTTGAGCTGTGCGGTTTATAAACAAGACATACTTATATATACACCACATATAGATGTGGTGGGAAGTTAGATGCTCATAAACTTCCTAACTCTTGTATGCACAGTGGTTAGAATGCTAATGCCACCTTTCAAAGAATCAGTGCTTGCTTCCCCTGCATGGAGTTTTTCTGCTATTTGCTGTTCCATCCTTGAAATTAAACTGATGCAGAATTCCATGATTGGATCTTCTAAGTGTTTAGTGGACCAGTTTTCAGGATGCTATATAACTTTCTGTTTAAGGCGCACATTCACAATAAGAACATAAGAAGAGCCATGCTGGATCAACCTAAGGCACATCTAGTCCAGCCTTCTGTTCACACAGTGACCAACCAGCTGCCTAGGGAAACCCAGAAACAGGAAGATAGCAACAGCAGGATCCTATCTGTGCTCCCTAGCAACTGATGTATGGAGGCATACTATCTGGTTCCTGCCAACCTAGCAGTTCGAAAGCAAGAAACTGCAAGTAGATAAATAGGTACCACTTTGGTGGGAAGGTGACAGCGTTCCGTGCACCTTGGCCTTTAGTCACGCCGGCCACATGACCACAGAGAAGTCTTCTGACCCCGCTGGCTCTTCGGCTTGGAAACAGAGATGAGCACTGCCCCCTAGAGTCAGATTCGACTGGCATTCGAGTAAGGGAAACCTTTACCTCTATTATCTCTGGTACTGGAGGGAGTAGATATCCATAATTATTAGCTATTTATAGCGTTATTTAGCATATTTACATAGATCTAAAGATGGAAGAGCATTACTGAGAATTATGCTCAAAACAAGTAATGGTGAACTGACATGTAATACAGCAGGCAGACCCAGATGATGTGTTACCGATCAACTGGTAACAAGGAACTCATAGTTGGCTTCATTCCAGCTGCCAGCAAGCCAAGTCCCTATCTTTGGAACTAACAACCACTGGCAGCCCAGACTATTAACACCGAAATGAGCTTGACGATATTCCACCACCTGTTTTTACAAACCAGATGGGGAGGGTGGTCAGACTTGCAGAAAATGGTAAAAATTGATGGAGGTGTCTGACAAAGCTGGAAACAAAGCAGTCATGGCTGGAATGTATGGGAACCTGCTTTTCTATGTGTAAGTTACTTTTCTAAGTGTGACCCGTGAGTTCTGGGAAATTGAACATTATAAAGTACGGTTTGATGTTGGTTTGTGTGAAAAGGCATGTTCAGTGCAGGGTACGATGATGCGGGAGGCAGGGTGGGTTCTGATGTGAAGACTCTGGGACCCACAACAAGCCATCTAATCCTGTCGGGCCAACTGCGCTCCTCGCGCCTTGCCTTCCAGCAGCAAGGCCGTTAGGAGCAAGGAGTGGGTTTACCTTCAGAAGGGCTGAAGAGGCGCTCCTTAAAGAGCCACGGCCGCCGGCGGTTCCCTCGCAAAAACTTCCCTGGCCTCCTGCCAGCTCAGCCGAGTGCCCCTGAGCTCCTAAGGGCGGAAGAGATGCTCTTTAAAGAGCCAGGACCGCCTGCGCGCCAGCGCTCCTGGCGTCCGCCTCCTCCAGCCCCCCCAGATCTCACTTGGCCCGTGAGTGCTGGAGAAAGCAAGCCAGATGATTCTTGTCTCAGCACGGGGCTGTGCAACCAAGTTGGGGCGCAAAAGCCAAGCCAAGCTCTACCCCTCAGCAGGGAAGGGCGCAGCAGAGCAGCCTCTCTGCCAGGCGAAGAAGCCACAGGCGGTGGCATGAGAGGGGGGTCTGGCAGTGAGGAGCCAGCAGGATCATGGGGGGTGCGGCTACTCTGCCTCCATCAGGGCTACTTTTTAAAGGGAGCTGGAGGGGGGCACGCATGTGGGAGAGAGAGGCTTTCCTTTCCTGATTCCCTGATTACTGAGAGAGGAGGAGATGGAGGCAGGGCGAGGGGATGGCTGGCTGCGATGTGTGCTGCTGCGTTGTGGTGCACACCTGCTGGGATTGCGCAGCTCTGAAGTGCAGAGCCCAGGGAGAGTCAGCAGGGCTTTTGGAGAGACCTGGGTGAGAGGGGTTGGGAGGGGAGGGGCAGGGCCGTAGGCCAGTCCGGCGCCCCCCAGTAGGGGGCGCTCGAGGCACGCGCCTAAAACTGTCGAAAACATCCCCGCCTCCCCCCCCCCCCCCCCTCCCGTTTGCCCTGAGGCTTTCCAGCTTCCTTGTCAGCTCTCTCTGGGTGAGGCAAGCAGGACCCTTCACGCCTTGTCTCCCAGCGGAGAAGACTGGTTTAGCCTCCAGAAGGGCCGGGGATGCGCTCTTTAAAGAGCCAGGGCCACCCGCG